CAGTAAGCATCAGGCAATGAAGGAGAGTAAGCCCTGAGACATGGGAAACAAGTAAGGTGAAACCCTGGGGTTCCCCCAGCTTACTGCCCTAAAAAAGCTTCATTGCAGCACAGGGGAGGAGAACCTAGGCAGAGTCCAGAGGATACCCTAAGTTAAGGAAATGGAGGCAAAGAGTTCAGGAAGATCAAGCCAGCTAGATTGGAAGAGAAAGTATCAAAGATGAAAGAGCTACACAGAGAGAGAAGTCTAGAGATGTAGAGGGTCTTCCTTCAACTGAGGTACTGATCAACACATGCAGGTGAGCAAGCTACCTAAAGATGGGGAAAGAGCTCCCTGAAAATATTAAAGGTAACACTATCCAGTACTTACACAGAGTCAAGGACAGTGACTGTTTCCACCAGCCAGACTGAAAAACTTCAAGATTCACAGGGCACTGCATACAGAATGCAAAAGGACCTTTTCTCAGTAGTGGAGAATAATGAACCTTAGACTGAGCACTGCTCTAGTCCCACCTAACAAATCTTTAGAGCAAGGCCCAAATGATCAAACTATGTACAAGTAACTTGACTGATTGCCTGAACAAAGCATAAGAATACCTACAGGGCTACAAAAGTATGTAGCACCAAAGAAAAATTTGCAATGTCTCGCAGGTGATCAAATTACCAGACATGCAAAGAAGAAAAATGACCCAAAATGAAGAGAATAATTAAACTGATCCAGAACTGAAACAGATATTAGAACTACACAATGAAGACATTAAGATGATAATTAGAACTGCATTAAATGGATTACAAATTTAAGTAGAAACATGAAAGATATTTTTTTACAATTGAAATCACACTTCTAGGGATAAAAACTGCAATGTATGAGATGTGAAACTCACTGGATGAGGGTATACTGTGGAAGAAATGATTAGTAAACTTGAAGACATAGCATTAGAAACTATTCAAAATGAAACACAGATAAAAAAAATAATATTTAAAAAACAAATACAGGGGCACCTGGGTGGCTCAGTCAGTTAAGCATCAGATTTCAGCTCAGGTCATAAGATTATGATCTCATTGTTCATGGGTTTGAGCCCCGCGATGGGCTCTGTGCTGACAGCTCAGAGCCTGGAACCTGCTTCAGATTGTGTGTCTCCCTCTCTCTCTGCCCCTCCCTCACTCATGCTCTATTTGTCTGTTTCTCAAAAATAAATAAATGTTAAAAAAAACTTTAAAATAAGTAAATAAAAAACAAACACAGACTCAGCAAGCAGTGGGACAACTTCAAGTGGCCTAATTATATGTAATTGGAGTCCTTGGTGTGAGGAGGGGGAGGGATTACAAAAAAATAGCAGCCAAAAGTTTTCCAAATTTGATACAACTATAAATTCACAGATGCAAGAAGCTCAAGATAAAGATGCTTTAAGTATAAAAAAGCTGAAATAATTCATTATCAGCAGACCACATCACAAGTTATATGATAAATTCTTCGGAGTGCCTGGGTGGCTCAGTCAGTTAAGGATCCGGCTCTGGCTCAGTTCACAATCTCACAGTTCAGAAGTTCGAGCCCCTCATTAGGCTCTGTGCTGACAGCTCAGAGCCTGGAGCCTGCTTCAGATTCTGTGTCTCCCTCTCTCTCTGCCCCTCCCCTGCTTGCACTCTGCCTCTCTCTCTCTCTCAAAAATTAATAAACATTAAAAAAAGAAAAACAAAGAAAAAGAAACTCTTCAAGCAGAGAAAACTAATACCAAATAGAAATAATGGGCATCTACAGGGAGAAATGCAGACTGGTGAAAATTGTAACATGGGTAAATACACAAAGTTGTTTTCTTACTATTCAAACCTCTTTGAAGATAATTGACTGTTAACAAAACTAAATAATTTTCTGTTGGATTTATAAAATAAATAAAAGTAAAATGTACAAAAACAGCACAAAGTTTGGGAGGAGAGGAATGGGAATACAGTATTGTAAAATTCTTCTTCTATACATTGAATGGTTAAATGAAAGTAGGCTGTGATAAGATATATTATAAATGCTAAAGCAGCCATTAAAATAACAAAACAGTGACAGCTAATAAACAATAAAAGGAGATAAAACAGAACCACTGAAAGTATTCAGTTAATCAAAAAGAAAGAAAAGCAAAAGGGGGGAAAACAGATGGTACAAAGAGAAAATGGGATACCATAAGTAAAATACAGATGTCATCAAATCAGATAAAAATGTAAGATCTGACAATATGCCGTCGACAAGGCACTCCAAACAAAAGGACACAAATAGATGAAAAGTAATGAATGGGGAAAAATATATATCATGATTACACTAATTACAAGAAAGCTAAAATGGCTTTATTAACATCAGACAATGTACATTTCAGAGTAACGTATATTACCACAAATAAAGAAGGCCAATTCATAATGATAAAAGATTAATTCATTAAGAAGAAATTTAAAAATGCTAAATATTTAGGTACCTGTTAAGAAAATTTCAAAATATTTGAAGCAAAAGTGATATAATTACATGAATAAATAGACAAATATAAAATTATAGCTAAATATTTCAATATCTCTCTCAAGAACTGATAGAACATACTTAATAGTAAAAAACTAGATATTTTCCCCCCAAGATCACAGGATAGGTATCACTTGTAGTCACAATGTCCTGTCATTTCTTATCAATACAATAACAAACAAACAGATTAATTAAATGTATGCAAATTGAAATGAAAGAGGTAAAACTGTCTTTACTCACAAACAACATGATCATCTATGTAGAAAAATCTAATGAAATATACAAAAAAAAACTTGTAGAAATGATTGAGTTTAGCAAAGTGCAAGATTCAGGGTTAATATAAAGAAATCAGTTACAGTTCTCTATACTAACATAATGGATGACCATAAATTTTAACTAAAAAATACCATTTATAATAGCATCAAAATATAAAATACAGATAAATTTGGTGAAAGACATGATAAATCTGTACAATGAAAACAACAAAACATTTCTGAAAGAAACCAAAGACCCTAAAAATGAAGATACATACTTTGTTCATGAGTTAGAAGACACCAATTAACAATGTTAATTCTCTCTAAATTGACCTATATCAATGCAGTACAATTCAAATCAAAATTCTAAAAGACTATTTTATATAAATGTTTAAACTGCTGCTAAAATTCCCATGAAAGACCACCTTTGAAAATAAGGAACAAAGGGAAAGGATTGACAATACTGATTGCAAGATTTCTTATAAAGCTGCAGTAGTCAAAACAATGTGGTATTGACATAAAAATAGAAAAATAGGCCAATGAATCAGAGTCCAGAATTAGACCCCACACATATATAGATAAATGATTTTCTACAAAGATACAAAAGCAGAGTTGACCATGGATAGTCCAGTAGCATTAAAATAACTAGATGTCCATATGGAAATAAATCAACTTTGATCCATACCTTACACTATATACAAAAGCTAACACAAAATAGATCACAGAGCTAAACATAAAACCTAAAACTATAATGCTTCTAGGGGGAAAAAGAATAATGTTTTTTGTGTATGTGTGACTGTGGTGATGAGTTTTTAGATATAACATCAAAAGTGTGTGCTATGAGGGGCACCTGGGTGGCTCAGTAGGTTAAGCATCCAACTTTGGCTCAGGTCCTGATCTCTCAGTTCATGGGTTGGAGCCCCACATCAGGCTCTGTGCTGACTGCTCAGAGCCTGGAGCCTGCTTTGGATTCTGTGTCTCCCTCTCTCTCTCTCTGCCTTTCCTTGTTCATGCTCTGTTTCTCTCTCTCTCTCTCCCAAAAATAAATAAGCATTAAAAACTTTTTTTAAAAAAGTGTGTGCTATGAAACAACTTGATAAACTGGACTTCACCAGTTAGAATGTTTGATGTTTTATAAAGATGCTTAAGAGAAGTAAAAGACAAGTCACAGACTGGGGGAAATGTAAAGTATATACCTGATAAAGGACTTACATGCAACATATATTTTAAAAAATTCAAACTCAACAATAACAAAACAAACAACCCAATGGAAAAGTGGCAATGATTTACAGATGGCAAATAAACACATGAAGAGATGCCAACATCACTATTTATTAGGGTAATACAAATTGAGTCACAATGAGATACTACTACAAATCTACTAAAATGGCTAAAATAAAAAATACAGACTACACCAAATGTAGGCTAAGATGCCAAAAAAGTATCACTCCCATACACTATTAGTGGAAATGTAAAATGGTACAACCATTCTGGAAGAGAGTTTGGCAGTTAAAAAGTTAAATATATACCTCCAGTATGATCTAGCCATTTCATTCCTAAATATTTACACAGGAGGGAAAAAAAACCACATGCCCATACAAAGACTTATATGTTCATAGCAGCTGTATTTGTTTCCAATTCTGGAAACATCCTAAATGTCCAACAGGTGAATGGATAAACAAACTATGGCATAATTATATAATAGAATGTTACCTAGCAGTTAAAAGAATTAAGTTACTTATACATGCTGCAACATGGATGAATCTCAAAATAATTGTGCTGAGTAAAATAAGCCAGGCAAGAAAAGGAGTACATATTGTATGATTCTATTTATATAAAACTCTAGAAAATGCAAACTAATGTAGCATAAAGCATTTCAGTGGTTGCCTGGGAACTGGAGCAGGGAGTGACCAGGAGAGATGGGAATGAAGGATTTTAAAAGGGGTATAAGGAAACTTTTGGGGGTGATGAGTATGTTCACTCTCTTGACTGTGGTGTGGTTTTATGGGTGTGTACATGTCAAAACTTATCAAACTGTACACTTTTTAAATTTTGTAAGTTTATTTATTTTGAGAGAGAGAGAGAGAGAGAGAGAGAGCAGGGGAAGGGCAGAGAGAGAGGGAGAGAGAGAATCCCAAGCAGGCTCTGTGCTCACAAACTGTGAGATCATGACCTAAGCTGAAACCAAGAGCCAAAACGAAGTCGGACACTTAACTGACCTTAACCAACTAAGCCACCCAGATGCCCCTCAAACCGTATACTTTAAATGTGTGCCATTTATTGTATATCAATTACACATCGCTAAACTATTAAACATTAAACTAAATACAGCTGAGGGCTGGAGGCAGAAAACACCTAAGTTCCTGTACCACAGGTCTTACATGGTTGAAATGTCCAAGGTCAGATGCTATGGCAGCCATGGAGGTGTGACGTTCAAATCTCCTTCACAAAAGCCTGCTGCTGGGGGCACAGCTGATTAACAGTGCCAGCTGCTGCCTCTCTGGCTCTACCACCATGTCAGCAGAAAGGTCACACTTGTCCAGGCTACCCCCAACAAATGACTTAGTACTGACTCATTCCTGCCAATGTCAGAGTCTTCCAAGGAGCACCCTTTGCTTGGGGATGCTTCTTCGGCCTGAACAAAACTTCCTCAGAACCACACTTCTGAATCAACACATTTCCTGGAAACAGGAATCCAAGATCTAGTTAGATATCTAGAAGCTGACAGCCCGATGGGTTGGATGCTCCAATCACGGAGACATTCAACAAGATCCTAATCCTCCCAGATTTGGCAGGGATTGAAGGCCCTAAGGAGGTTATTCTGCTCACCTGCCACCCTGTGAGAACATATGGAGGACCCGTGAACGGATCTCCTTGGTTTTGGCTCCATAGACAACAGGGTTGACCACAGGTGGTAGTAGCAAATAGATATTAGCCATAATCACATGGAGCAGGGAGGTAGGGCCCCCCAGCCTGTGCACCACTGAGAGCCCAATGAGGGGCACATAGAAGACCAGGACAGCACAGAGATGGGAGATGCAGGTATTGAAAGCCTTGAGTGCTGCCCCCTGAGAAGCCAGCTCCAACACAGTCTTCAGGATAAGAATGTAGGAGAAGCCAATGAAGAGGGAGTCCACACCCATGACTGAGAGGATAATGAAGAGTCCATATACTACATTGACCCTGGTGTCAGAACAGGACAACTTCATAATATCTTGGTGCAGACAGAAGGAGTGTGTGACCATATGTGTTTGGCAGTATGACAACCGCTTCAGGATGAAGGGCAGAGGGAAGAAGAAAACAAATCCCCTGGTCAGGGCAGCTAGTCCAATCTTGGCCACAGTAGGCCCTGTGAGCATAGAAGCATGCCGCAGTGGATGACAGATGGCCACAAAGCGGTCAAAAGCCATAGCCAGCAGGACAGCTGACTCCATGGCTGACAGAGCATGGATAAGGAACATCTGGGCCAGACAAACATTGAATCCTATCTCCTGGATGCCTGTCAGGAAGAGGCTGGCCATCTTGGGCATGGTGACAGAAGACAGGACTAGGTCAATAGTGGAAAGCATGGCCAGGAAGAGGTACATGGGCTCATGCAGATTCCTTTCCACACGGATGATGAGGACAATGGCCAGGTTTCCCAGGGTGGCCATGGCATACATAAAGCACAGGGGGAAAGCCAGCCAAAAGTGTATGTCAGGCCCCAGGCCAGGGATTCCCACCAGCAGGAAGTATGCTGGATGGACCAGAGTTCCATTTGGAGTGGCCATGACAGGAACCAAGAGCTGAGGCTTCTGCATGCCAGGTCCAAGGTCTACATCAGGGAAAAGAAGAAACAGCATTAAGTCATAACTCAGAGGAGAGAAAGGACTTACAAGGAAGGGCACTGGAGTCATGATGGTAGCAAACAGAAGATTAAATACTTGCAATTCTGAACTCCAGCCTCTCTGTGCTCTGATTCTCTTTATACTCACTTCCCTGGAGATCCCATTAGTGTCAGTGTGTGACGGCCCACTCAGAAAACATGCAACAGCTCTTCTTTGCCAGAGCCGAAGCTGTGGACTGGGACACTGCTCTTAACTACTTCTCCAACACAGCAGACCTGCCCAGAAGGTTCCACACTGACCCTAGCTCTTCTAGTGCACCTGAGGTTACGGTTGGTTTGGGTCCAGAGTGTGAGGCTTAGCCTGCAGTTGCCTTTAAGACCCACCCTAGTCTGATTTATGGCAGAAAGCAGGGGTTCAGTCTGGTACTGGCTTCAAGAGACAGACTTGTGTTTAGGCCTGAGGAGCATTTCTCAAACTTCCCTGATAGACTCATCTGAATCAGTTATTGAGAAGACGATCCCCCACGTCTCACTCCAGGCCCAGAGAATCAGAATTTCCAGGGCAGGAAGTCGAGGAATCTGATTAAGGACAGTATCCCTTCTCCCCTGGTGATTTTTGTTTTAATCAAAGAAATTTGTGGAAAGCAGTTCTGGTGTTCTGGGAGGTAGGGAGATGGGGCTAAAGAAAGATTATCATTTTCAGCCCCCAACAAAGAATAGAACAGAATTTTTCATCAGGATCTCTGGACACCTGCATGACAGTCAGTCCCAGATTGTGCTTGGGTGGGGTATGACACGGAAACCAGATGCAGCTGAGACGTGGAAAGAAAAGCAGTCCATGCTGCTGCTGGTGCTAGGGGGTGAACACAGGCACATCCCCCCTTTCTGCCACTCCTCTCCCTGGTGATCACATAACCACCAGGCTCAACTTCCTTTCTCTCACATACAACCCTATGCTAAGCTTCTGTCCTGAGAACCAACCCTATAACCTGCTGCCTCCTCATATTTCTACTTGGATAGCCTATGGGCTTACGCTCATCTCGTCCCAAATAGAACCTCTTCCAAATCCAGTTCAGGGCAGCTACTCCCATCTTTATTTTTCTTCTTTTACCTCCACATGTGATTTTACTTTTCCAACTACTCTATGATGACCTCTCCTCTTATTTAATACACCCGCCTTCCCTCCCAACCTCATTATATCATCCACTCTGCTCTTATGAAATGAGCTTTCTAACTCACCCCCCTGCCTCTACACCCAGATATTTCAATCTACCTTCTGCATCACTGCCATCTAAACAGCAAAACCAGACATGTCAGGCTCTGTCTAGCAAGTTACTGGTGGCTGCCATAGCCCTCTAAGTTGAAACCACTTGGGCTGCATTCAAGGCCCTTTACTGGGTGGCTCCGACTTCACTTTACAGCGCAGCTTCTCAACTTCCTTTTTCATTACTAATCACCACCACCACACATGTATTTGTCCCACACACATAATTTCCTTGGATAAATTCATTCCCCTTGCCTTGTTTCTTCAGTGAAGTGTAGGAGGCTGGAACCGGGGATTCCTTCCTGGCTCAAGCGATAGACAAAGTTTGGAATGGGCCTCACAGTGTTTGAAGAAAATCCTCTCTGGGTAGATCACTGAACAAGGTCTGGGAGCCCGGGCCACTGTAATCCGGAAAGTGCGCGCGCAGACAGACCTCTCCAAGCGGCCAAGCAAGCTGAGCAGAGGCCGGCTTCCCCCAGCAATGAATTGTGGCTGGATCTCCTGGTCTAGCTCCCCGCTCTGGGCTGCCCCTGGCTCACTCACCAATAGTGCCTCCGCCCAAGGCCACCGCACAAATATAGTTTCTCCGGGGCTCTGGGGAGCGTGAGGGATGATAAAGGATGAATTCCTCGGGGCTCCTTAAGAAGCCGCACTCCACTCAGGCAGCCAAGGAAAACTGCGCCCTAAACTCCTACCCAAAGTAGCTTCGCTCTATTACCATTTATCCTAAGGCTCAGGAGACTGAAGGGAAGGCAAGTGCCATGGGGTGGATAGAGAAGGGATGATCTGTGCTGGAAAAAAAGGAGAAACTGAACGGAGGCAACAGCATGCACCAGAAAGCGCACAGCCACTGATAATCTTGCTCAGGCTCCCAAATTCCCTATCCAAGGGTGGTGGGGAAGCACACGGTGAAGCCTCTTGCTTCTTGATGCTGCCCTCTCGTGGTCTGGTGGGGAAGCTGCAGCCTCGTGGATGATGGGCTGTAGCTCTCAGGATGACTCTTCAAGGACCAAGGAAGGACCTAACGCCTCGGTCTCGAATTTGAACCCCTTCCATTGCATCTTAGCTCTCCTTTCCTTTCAAACTAACCCTTTCTTCTTTGATCCACTAATCATAGCTCACTTGTCCCCCCCGAAATGGGACAATGTACGGTGGTTCTTTAAATGTGGGGCTCTGTCAGGAAACATTTGTGTCCAAACTGGGGTCCAACTATTTGTTCATGGTACAACTAGGCTTAACCTCAGTTTGATGAAAAATAAAATGAGATATTAGCAATTCTCCAGTGAATGTTCGTGTTCATTATTATTACTCAAAACAACTGGAAGAGCCAATGAAGTATGAGGAAATTTGGCTGAGATACTGCTACAACAGTCAAAGGAAGAAAATACACTGGGAAGAAGGAGTGGAAAGCAGTACAGAAGGCTGCTGGGAGATCAAGCACTGTAGGGCTGGAAGTAAAAAAATTCACTTGATACCTTGAGAAAGGCTTGTGGGAAGAGAATCTTGAATGCAGCAAGTAAGGAGTAAGTGGGTTGAAAGGAAAGGGAGAAAGTGGATGTAGACAACTCTTTGAAGAGGTTTGCATGTGAAGAGACGGACTGAAATGGGCAATACATGCAGAATCGATAGTTCTAAGGAGTTTTTAAAAGTGTATTTTGGAGCTACAAGAGATTGAACACAAGTACATGTGATGGAGTTAGTGCAGAAGCTCCATGTTCTCAATATTCATAGAGTTCAGATCATTTAGGGCCTCCTAAGCCAAGAATTTGAGTATATCCTCAGCCAGAGCTCTCCATTGTTGGGTGGACCCTTTAACGCTGTTTGCATTGAATTTCAATTTTCTTACTTATTTTCTTTATTTCTTATGAAAAATACTGAAACAATACTATAGGGATATGCTATTATTTTTAAAGTCATATCATGGTCTATCTTACTCTGGAAGATACTATTCTTATTCTTCTAACAAGTGAAAAAATGTTTGAAAAGTTCCTGTGAAAAATCTCCATTCAAAAATTGTGGCAGCTTGGTCCTTGCTGTTGCTACCAAAAATTTAAGGGGACCTTCTCATTAAACATGCCTCAATTGAAGTAATAAATAGAGTTGAGAATTATGAATTAACATCAACAAAAGGACAGGTATTCAGAGTGAATGAAAGAGGACCATAAATCTCCTCTTAAAATATGTGCATCAGTATCCATCCCCCCTGTAAAAATAGACAAAAGATCTCATCATAAGTATGCAAAATAATCTCATAATGTTAAATGCTTTAAGTGAAATAAAAAGAAAAGAGAAAATTAGTCCCACCAAGATTAGGGTCAGGAAAGGTCTTCCTAAGGAAGGCTGTTTAAACAGATACCTGAAGCTAAAAATTCATCAGAACAGGGAGTGGGATGAGTATTCTTACTATGGAGAAAAACATATGAAAGCTGACAGGCCAGAGAAAGCATGACACATTGAAGTGGTGAGATAATTTCACTGCATCTGGGACTTAGCAGGCAAAAGATGGAGGTAGAGTGTTTGGAGATGGGGATGGAGAGGTGCACCAAGGTGGCTCATGGAATCCTTATGAGCTGGTTTGGGGAGTATGAACTTCATCCTGGCATTCTAACATCAATGAGAAGATGCTACAGACTGACTCATGTTTGAAAGATCATACTAGCCACAGCATGGACAGTAATTGGTAGGAAAGATCTTAAGTGGGGCTGATCAGTGAAAAAGTTATTCCGATCACCTAGACAAGAGATTATCTTGGCTTAAACTGGAGTAAAGGCAAAGGAGATGCAGAAAAATCTACAAGGAAATCTCTGCAGTAAGAAAGTGTTCTCTTGTTTCCAAGGTATTCAAATTCCATTTGCAAATGAGTAATGCCATTGTTTTTTTGTTAAAAGATAGTGATGGATGTGTTGATACAGAGCCACAAATACTCACAGTGAAAGAAAGCGTGGTTTTACCTGAAGATAAAAATGATTTCTTGTGTTAACAACCTGTAATAAGGCAAGAAAAAGAAACATATCATATGAAATTTAGAAAAAAAATTAATCATTATTTGTGGATTAGTGATGGTATATGTATAAAAATCCAAAAGAATCCATTCATAAGTAATTTGAATTAATAAGTAACTACATAAAGGTTACCAATTAGATAATTAGAATTAATAAGTATATAAAGGTTGCTGAATACAGGTTAATGGACAAAATTCCAGTGTATTTATTTATAAAATAGACATGATTTTTTAAAATCATTTACAATGGCATAGAAAAATCACATGTCTAAGAGTAAATCTAACAAAGGATATAGAGGACCTTCTACATAGAAAACCAGAAAGCATCCTTAAGAGAAAATGAAGAAGACCTAAAATAAATGGGGGTGGGGTGGGGAGGGAGATCCTATGGTCCTTTATAGGAAAAGTCAATAATGTGAAGAATTTAATTGTCTCCCCAAATTTTTCTACAGATTCAATGTAATCTTAATAATATCCTAAAAGCTCATTTTGCAGAACTTGATAAGTTTAATTAAAAATTTATAGCAAAATATAAATGGTTAAAAGTAGCCACAACACTCTTAAAGAATAGAACTAACATGTGGGGTGCCTGGGTGGCTCAGTCGGTTGAGAGCCCAACCTCGGCTCAGGTCATGATCTCATGGGTTCATGGGTTCGAGCCCCACATGAGGCTCTGTGCTGACAGCTCAGAGCCTGAAGCCTGCTTCAGATTCCGTGTTTCCCTCTCTCTCTTCCCCTCCCCTGCTTGTGCTCTCTCTTTCAAAAATAAGTAAACATTAAAAAAAAATAGAGCCAACATGGGAAAACTTGATAGATCAAATATCAAGACTTATTATAAAGCTATAATAATTATGCAAGTGTGATACTGGTGCAGGATGGACAACTGGGCCAATGCTAGTAATAAAAGCCCAGAAGCACACCTACTGATTTACAGCCAGTTGTTATATGATAATGGTAGCACTATGTGACAATGAGGAAAGTGCCCACATGCAAGTGGGGGGGAGGGGGGGGTGGGGAGAGTGGGGGTGGCAGACAGAGAGGAAGACAGAGAATCCCAAGCAGGCTCTGAGCTGTCAGCACGGAACTGGGGCAGAGCTGGATCCTACCAACTATGAGATCATGACTTGAGCAGAAATCAAGAGTCTGACACTTAACCGACTGAGCCACCCAGGCACCCCAAGGAAAGGAGGCTACTTTTAATAAGTGGTACCAGAACTGCTGAATATCCATATGGAAAAAGTTAAACTTGAACCC